AGGGGGACCCATCCCAGTCCTCTGACGGGCTCTCGGAGGGCTACCTTCGGCTGCTGGGGTCTCCTCGGACCAACCGTGGCCTCTCAGCCTCTTGTTGTGCAACCTCAGTGTCTCCTGGGTCAATCCAACCTGTGAAATTGAATCACCCGGGGCAACCTCATCGCCCACAGTAGAGTCTGGCTGGTGCTGTCCTCGTGGCGTCAGAGTCACACGCCCATGAGTAAGGCTCACCCTTCTCTCCATCTCAGGACACTGAGAGATAATGTGGCCTTTCTGTCCACAATGACCACACTTCAGACCTCTCGGATTCTTCCAGCTGAATCCACTGAAGGACCTTACAAAGGCGGGTCCTTTGTCCTCCTCAGCTTTCGGGTTTCTTGTATCGATCTGCAACTCCTCTCTCTTGTTTGACTGAGGGTTGTACATCCTTCGGACGACCCTTCTCTGACCTGGCAATCTCGACCCTGTCACAACCTCAAACGTAGGTGTTGGCCCCGATTCCTCTTCTCTCCTCTGTGCAGCGAAGTACTCACAGGGTTCCGGAGAAGGTTTTGGAGAAGGTCTGGGAGGCTTCGGTGCAGAGCCAAGCCAAATTCAACAGGGATGTGGAGAAGCTTCCGGTGAATGTCTGGGAGGCTTTGGTGCAGAGCCAGGTCAGGCCCAACAGGGTTCCGGAGAAGGTCCGGAGAAGGTTCCGGAGGAGGTTCCGGAGGAGGTTCCGGAGAAGGCGTGGGAGGCTTTGGTGCAAAGCCAGGTCAGGTTCAACAGGTTTCCGGAAAAGGTTCCGGGAGGATTTGGTGCAGAGCCAGGGTTCCAGAGAAGGTGCCAGAGAAGGTTCCGGAGAAGGTCTGGCAGGCTTTGGTGCAGAGCCAGGTCACGTTCAACAGGGTTCCGGAGAAGGTCTGGGAAGTTTGGGTGCAGAGCCAAGTCAGGTTCAACTGGGTTCCGGAGAAGGTTCCGGAGAAGGCGTGGGAGGCTTTGGTGCAGAGCCAGGTTACGTTCAATAATGGCAAACTGCAAAGGGTAAAACCTAGGAATTAGGTAGCTATAGATAGCTAGGCAGTTCACTAGGTAGAGACGGCATGGCATGACAACAGTTCATGACCGCAGCCCCTTTGTGCACGGTTGTGCATTCAAGGCAGTAAAAGGTGCCACTGTGCTGTGGCAGCTGTGTAACTAGCGGGGTAACTAAATAGAGCCCAATACGCTGACCACTACCATCTCGGCTTTTGCATGGTAACGGAGCTGCGTGGGTAGCCCCACCGCTCCAGGTCAAACAGCGGGCAGCTCCGCCGGCCAAGGCCGCGGGCAGCCCCGCCCAAACTGAGGACAAGCCTACGTGGCCAAGGCTGCGTAGGAGAGTCCAAACAAAACGGCTTCTCGGGAGAATACCTGGGAATCCTGGAATAGGTCGACGACCCCCTGTGGCTGGGTAGACTACTCCCAGCAAGAACCCAGAGCTCCTGCAACAAGGGACGCTGGGACAACCACTGACAACAGTTGGTGGGGACGAAGCCGACCAGACACGAATCGATCTCGAAGCAGTCGATTCGCCCAAGAAAGGAATCGGCGAGGACATCGCCCAGTGGCCAGGACAGAGGCCGGGATCCAAAGGGGTCAAGAGCGAAGAGCCGCACGGGACGCGGCAGACGCAGCAGCAGCAGCAGGGCCAGGCCAGTCCACGGACGCGCCACCTGCTGAGCCAACACCGGCCGACCCATCGGCCGATCCACCAGCCGATAGGCGTCCCTGTGGAGTAGTTGGTAGGGCGACGTTCTTGACGTCGCGGACAGACTACCGGTGGCGGTTCGATTCCCCGCTGGTCCGCAGGTAAGCCTCAAAGTGTGGTGACCGTGACCAGGCGAAAGCCAATTGGCGCCATCCACAAAAAGGCCGATCCACCAGCCGATCCTTCGGCTGAGCCAGACCCACCGGCACCAGAGCCGGGGTCAGTGCCATCTTCGGCGCTGGACATCGGGTCAACACCCGACGCACCCGACGTGCCTCAGACCAACCTAAGGGTGGAAGAGGCCAAGAGGGAAGTGCGGGTAGATCTGCCTCCGGGACGCGCCGCACTCGAAGCAGACGAGAGCGCACCGGTGAAGTTGGTCCCACAAGCTGATAGGGCCAGCTCAAGGGCTGCAAGGAAAAGAGCCCGACTTCAGAAGGACTTGGACGAAGCCAAGCAGGCGATTGATTCGTCTGAAGCCCCAAGCCTCTCAATAGAAATCCTGCAAGACGCAGGCATAGAAGTGGTTGACTGGGAAGCTGACATCTCAAGTGAAGAGAGCTTTGAGATTTGCGTTCCAGACCCTGTGTTTCAGGGCACTGTACGCAGCGGAAGTCTCCGCGCGTGCGAGCCAGCTCACTCCAACAGTCAAGCAAGAGTTCAACAAAGCTCTTGACTTGTGTGAACAAATACAAGGGGCTTTGAGCCAAAGCCAGAGTGAACACTACGAGGTGGTAGACGAGAGACCACCAAACTGCAGAGAAGAAGATGGAGCAGCAAGCCGCGCAGATCCAACTGCAGATGGAGGCTCTAGCGAGTCAGGTTCAGGCCTTGACTACCGCTCAGCAGACCCAACAACAGGTGAATGCGCAGCTGCAGCTCGAGAAAGAGCAGCTGGAACAACGCCTCAACCGTCGCGTTGGGACAATTGCAGCAATCCTTGCAGAACGGAGGCGCAGTAGGAGCAGTTCCCCAGCCCAGCGCGGGGAGCTCCGCCGGCACCAGTAAACCTGTCAGTCATATAGACGTGCTCAAGTCTGTGAAACAGCCTCAGTCCTTAAAGGACAGGGAACAGTGGGAACGCTTCACCTTTCAGGTGGAAACCTATCTGGCACTGATCAACGAAGAGTTCCCCACAGACTTGGAAGAAGCACGCAAAAGCACCACGTTTGTGGACCCTGTAGATATGGCTGATGACTGCAAGGCACGTGGCAGACAGCTTTTTGCCATGCTGACTTCCTGGACCCAGGAGTTAGCAGTAGCTGTGAAGATAGCCCGTGGAATTCGAGAACAGAACGGTTTTGAGTTTTGGAGGCTTCTGTACCGAGAGTTAGCCCCAGATAACCACTCGAAGAGTTTAATCTGGAGACGCTCGCTGCTTAGCCCGAAGTTTTTCCGTCAAAGGAGACTGAGTTTTCTGCGGCGCTCCAAGAGTGGGAGGCCGACTTAGACAGGTATGAAGCCGAATACGGCGCACAGAAAGCAATAAGTGATGAAGATAAACGTGCCGTAGTTCTGACCGAAGCTCCAAATCCCTGAAACAGCACCTTTCCATGCACATAGCCACGCTGATCACCTACCAAGCTGTGCGCGAGGTGGTGGTGTCATACTTGCAAGCCAAGCAGGTGTGGAAGCCATCGGCCGCGTATGCGGGTAGCACCGCACGCAGTGATCCCATGGAGATTGGACTCGTCCAACACAAGGGAAAAGGTAAGGATAAAGGTGGCAAAGGAAAGGATGGCAAGAAGGGCAAAGGGAAGGATCAGAAAGGAAAAGGGAAAGACACCCACTCGAAAGACAAAGGTGGAAAAGGTCAAGACAGCAAAGATCGCTGTGCAATCTGCTGGAAGGCCGGCCATACCACTGAGAAGTGCTGGTTCAACACAAAAGGTCAGGAAAAGGGAAAGGGTAAGAAGGCAGTAGCAGCCGTGAATGAAGGTGACAACGCCTCCATTGTCTCGGCTGGTCCCTCGGCATCGCAGGTTGGGGGCAACAATAGCGTCATCACCCTTCCTTCCTCGTCTTCGACGTCGTACAGAAAAGACAAGAACGTCAGTAAGATCCGGGGAACACCGACTTCTCATGGTAAAGCCCGGCCACAGCGGGCAGCACCGCGTGGAATCAGTTTCACCTCAAGCCATTTTGGCAACTCAAACGGCTGGCAGCACAGTAGTCAGCCACCACCAGCAAAATGCCATTTTGGCAGAACAGGCCATTTTGGCCAAGTGGCAGGCCATTTCGGACTGCAAAGACAAACCAGGCTGGCATGACCTTGACAAGGTGTACGTGGTACGGGGGAAAGCTGGCACTCAAAGGAGGTATGTCACACCCGGGCCTCAATACTCAGATTTCACTCTGAGGTCCACCTGGCAATGGGACTATGCCGCCGATGCATGGGAAACCAGGGAGCTTGGAAGGAAAACGAAGCTTCTTCAAAACCCACATAAGGCATTTGCGGGAAGCAAAGTATGGGCATTGCATGTTTTCCAGAGAAGCACGCCCCAAGATAGCCAGGGTAGCGAGCAGAGGCACGCTATTGGTGGACACTGGAGCATGCTGTTCGGTCTGCACCCCTGAGGCTTTTCAGACAGCAGACCTCGACCCAAGCGCCACAGAGGAGCTCTACACAGTAGATGACACACCGCTGAAGGCGTGCGGGGAGATCCGCCCCAAGTTGCGACTCGGAGAGCAGCTTCAGGAAGAGGCACAGGTCACTTGTCAGGTGGTCGAAGGTGTGAATGAGAACATCCTGTCAGTCAATCGAGCCCTGGACGTCGGAGCCAACGTCCACTTCGAAACTGACAACTGCTACATCCAATGGGCAGATGGCAGCATCGCCACGTTCCGGCGAGAAGGGAGACAGTTCCTGTTGCCCTACGAAGAGCTGGATGGCGGAAAGCGCCAGGTAAAGGTCGCAGCCATCAACCCCGAAGATGAAGAAGCAATGGCAGTTCACCGCCACGCACTCCAGGAAGATCAGGAAGCCGACGCTGTGCGAGAGTTCGCCCAGCAAGAAGCGGACGCCGCTATGCAGGCGGAAGATCCCGGCCTGCTGGCCGACTTGGAGGAAGCGGCAGATGAGCCGGAGCCGCCTGAACCAAGAGGGCTACCTCAACCGGAAAGCCCCACAGAAGAACAGCGACAGCAGCATCGGTTAACTCACCTGCCATTCGCACCATGGTGCGAGGAGTGTGTGAGCGGGAAATCCCGCCAAGACCAACACAAGCGAGACCAGTCGACAGAACCAGATCAGGGTGTCTCGGTGGTCCAAATGGACTACTTCTTTCTGTCTCCAGAACGGGAAGAAGAGGTAGAAGACGAATCTCGTCTTGTGACCATCTTGTGTTTGACCGATACCGGCACCCGATGGCCATTGACACTTCAACTCCCCAACAAGTCTGTGGAGGTGGCTCAGTCAAAATACTGCCTGCAGAACATCGACCTCTACTTCAAGAACTTGAGGTATGACAAGATCATCCTCCAGCACGATGGCGAGCCCGCCATAAGAGCCCTGGCAAACAGCATCCAACGCCATGTGGGTGCATCCAAGGTCTCTGTGCGGGAAGCTCCGCCGAAGCAACACCAGAGCCAAGGAACTGTGGAGTCGATGAACGGATTCGCAGCTTCGCAAATCCGGACTCTGTGGTTAGATGTCAGGCAGAGGATCCTGAGCTGGACGTGAGCAGCAACCTCACGCCATGGCTTGTGCGCCACGCGGCGTGGCTCATAGCCAGATACCACACACGCAGCAGAGATGGCATGACGCCATACAAACTGGTCACAGGAGGTGACTACAACCATCCTGTAGCCACATTGGGAGAAATAGTGCTTGGCAAGGTGCCGAGCCCCAAAGGCAAGATCCAACGCCGATGGATCAAAGGAGTGTGGCTTGGAAAGCTGGATAGGGACGACAGCAATGTGCTTGGCACAGCGTCAGGTGCAATCGCTGTGCGGTCCATAAGGCGACTGCCCAAGGAGGGACAGATCAGCTCAGAGCTGATGGCAGCCATGAAGGGAACCCCTTGGCAGGCGAGAGATGGTGTGAGACACAAGATCACTCGTGAGTTGTCTCAGCCAATCGCTTTTCCAGCACCAGCCGCATCGGGTAGCCCCGAGCGAGAAGAAGCAGCAGATCGGGAGCATCCGACGCTGGCAGTGGACGGACACAACGTCGACCACGACGCCCTCGTGGTGCAAGCGGCGGCACAGCTAGCGGAAGAGCTGGAACCGATGCAGGATGCGGAGGATTTTCCAGATCTAGCGGGTGGCCCCGCAGACGTCAGTCCCGTTCCAACAACGCCAGCGGAATCCGAAGTTGCAGATCCTCCGCCGCCCGAGCACGGGCCGAGCGGGTCTCCACCGCCCTTTCGGGCAGCGGGATGGTCCTCAAACTTGCAAAGTCTTCCCAATGAACCCATGAGTCCATCTGGATTGGGGGCAGGAGGGAAACGAGAGAGGGCTAATCCGGGAGAACTGAAGACCGGCGAAGCTGATGCAAAGCAGCCCCGGCAAGCAGGGATCTTGCAGCACTTGACAACCAAAGAGATCTGGGAGAAAATCCAGCAATGGGGAAACTCAGAAGAACCGAACAACCCAACCGATCCAGCGAATCTCCAATGTGACAGAATTCGTCGATCAGATGCTCGACCCTGAAGAGGTATCCAAAGCCCGAAAGGCACAACTGCGAAAGCTGTGGGGGCGAGGAGCGTTCACTCCCACCCATAGAAAAGACATACCCCAGGTCGCAGCTTTTTGGTCACAAGTGGGTAGACAAGTGTTCGCGAGGGACTTACAATTCGCGCTTCACATGCGCAGACGTTAAGACCCAAGAGCAGGAGGCTGAGTTGGATGTTTTCGTGCCAACGCCAACTCCTGAGTCTCACAATGTCTTGGAAGTATACCCTCATGAACAAGTTCTACACGAGGAGCTTAGACATAGTTGCAGCCCTCCTCATAGGAAGGGACCGGGGCGCAGCACAAGGTAAACCGGTCTATGTCCGAGCACCCATCGAATGGTGGGATCTCTTCCTCGAATGGCTCGAAGAAGTCAACCCAGCGGATCGGCAATGGTACAAGGACCGGTTCAAGGAAATGTGTTTCCGGCTGGATGGAAACCTCTACGGTCGAAGAACGGCCGGATCTGTGTACAGAAACGAGCTAGAAGAGATAGTGTGCTCGCGGGTAGACCCGCAGCGGTATGCTTTTGTCAGGGGTCAGAAAGATCCGTGCATTTTCCGGTGCACCAAGACTGGTATTGTACTGCTGCACCATGTGGACGACATCCGCGCAGCAGGACCTTCAGAGGCCCTAGCGCATCTCTTCGAACAAGAACTACCGCGACACTGCGAAGTGCAAGCGGGAGAACTCGAAAAGGAGGGAACGGCAGTGGAATACCTGGGACGCACCAAAGTGCGCAGTGAAATTTTTTTTTTCCCTCGAGTGTGGCCGATGTCGCGCTAAAGGCTCGGTCCTTACATGAGAGTAAGCAGAAAATACAAATTGCAAGGACAAAAGGTCCTTGGAGTCGGCAAATCGATTGAAACAACAAAAACAAAAACCACAACCACACCAAAAACGACGACCCGCAAATCCCCCAGCCAGACTTGCGTTTCGCCAGCGGAAACAGCGAAACAAACAGCAGAAACAAAACAAAACCCACAAAACAGGGCCGGAGCCCAAACAAAAACACCCACCGAATCGATTTGCCATTGGACGCAGTGGCTTATCTTATCCACTGCATCACTATCAAAAACATGCCACATGAATTAGGGATCACGGCTGTCCAGGCAAACATGAAGGCCTCAGCTTGGGAGTTAACCCTAGCATGAGCCAAGCTGTACACGAAAGCAGGGCTACGCTAAAAACCTCTCTCAGAGTCCTCTCAGATCACCTCTTCAATGGGCCTTCATGGACATAGTAGTCATCATCTTATCTGTCAGCCGCGATCGCGAAGCCGTGATGTTGAGAACTCAGAACCCCCCCTTAAAAGGGGGGGGACAGAGATGGCAAAAGGGAAGCATCGTAGGCCAGGGACAAGCTTCCAAACATGCCATCGCCAACCAAAAAGGGGGGCACGCCCCTAGTTTCATAGGGGAAAATGCAGCCATCCATTGGATTGGTCTCAGCCAGCGACTGTCTTGGCAGTATTCGCAGAGCTGAGCAACATGCAGAAAAACTTTTGTATCTGTAAAATTGTCTTCGCTAGTGCTACCATACATGTGCTGTCGTAGGCAGTGTAGCGTTCTAAGAGCAGGTTCGCAAGGAATACAAACTACAGAACTGTTCAGGACATTTCAGGATGTCATCGTCCCTGAAGGACCTGCAGTGCATTGCAGTACGCATCGGCGAAGATCGTAGCGAAACTACGGCTGTAGTGCCACTCACCCATAGAGTAGACAGGCTGCAGCATTACCACATCTTTCAATCAATTGACGAACCATGCTGGCAGTCTTGTGCTGCTCGCGGGCGCCCCAGGCTGTCCTACAGGGAGGAGCACCGGAATGCACCGGTGAAGCTCACTGCAGCACAGTCTGGTCCATGGCATCGGCCGGCTATCTACCGCCCCTCTTGGTTGGATTCAGCTACCCATGTAGAGTACCCAGACAGAGGACATACCAGGGAAACCCAGAGAAAATAACCGAATTAAGGTCAAGTGGAGAAGGCAGCCCCTTAACGAGAAACAAAACAAATCAAGCCAGCAAGAAAGGCAGAGCAAAGAGACGGCCTTTACGGGCACCAGGCAATACGGCTGTCCTGAGTCACCTTAGTGGGTCACAAGAATGCTGTGTCAGTGTCTCTCCAGTCAGTACAAACAAACAAACAAGACAAGAATCAACCAGATCACCGATGTTCGTACATTCAAACTAAGCTCCATTCATTCGTTCCTAAGTGAGAGAAGGGGAGAGCAAATAAGCAGAGGAATGCACGCAAGGTCCACCAGAGACGCAAACAGGCAAAAAGGAGACCCAACAAAAGCACAACCGGACAACCAGACCAATTTTTTTCCGTCCAACGCCATGTGGCTTTCGCCAGGTCGTTCAACAGCTATCCAAGACTGTTGCAAATGAGATTAACTATTTAATTCGCACAGGGGCCGTTGCTGTAGTGGCCGCAAAAGTAAACTGGAAGAGGACCGATACATAGTCCAAAGGCTAGTCACGTTCCAGGTTCAAAATCGGAGAACCAAACACGAAAAACAAAGAACCACAGCAAAACAAAAACACCAAAACAAATCCAAGCAACAAACAAAAACCACACAAAAGAAAAGCAGCCACAAGGCCACAAAACCGTGACGTGACCGGTTCCAGTTATGGGTGAAACAGATCAATTGAGGCAGAGGTGATGGCTTGTTATCATCATCTCAGCGCATGCAATGACAACTTTTGTGTCATGTTGGCAGGCCCATAAATAAAGAAACAACAAGACCAAAGACGAAATCACATGGGCCAATTGAAGGGTGTGCGAAGCAACAAAGGCTCAATGCGGAAACCAGGGATCCCCCCAGCCAGGATCCCCGAGATCACACCGAGCAGCCTCACGGCATGACATTCAACACCCTGACACTTTGGAGCAAACACCGACAACGCCGGGTCACAACAAAGTGGTGAGAAACCACCGCAGTGAAACAGGAGAGTGAAACGTGATCTAAGGTGAAAAAGACAGCGCGGTAACAGCACTCAGGTACCCTCAGAGTCCGCTCAGTACTGCTTTTGCAATCATCACATTGCAACGAAATTGTGAGTGGCACTACGCGTAAAAATTGCAAGAATGACCTTGACGATCAAACTTGACGGGAATTGGAGTGGTTTTCAACTAGCAAACAGCGCACCTCCGCTAAGCGTCACTGATAGCGCACCAGACCAAGCGGCAACCAGACAGGAGAGGGGTGCCGGGAGGCAGAGGAGGACAGGGGCGGAGAAGGCTGCACCAATCACATTAGAATAGCAATAGTGCAGCTTAGCGGAGTCCAATATGGGAACTAGATCATCATCATGATGAATACCTCAGTATGGCCAAACTAAGCTCCCTGACGTCACCAGTGACATGGTGTAGAGGGTGAAGACCCCACACAGGGCCGTAGGTCTTGTTGCCATGAACCGAATGACGGAAGGATAGCAAAGCTCACCCACACTCCCAGTATGAAGGCAGGGCAACTAAGCCGTCACAGCTGCAACCAGACACCCAGAAGGAGGTACCAGCACGCCAAGGTACAAGCTGGACCAGAGCACCAAACGAGACAATCCGCGGGGAAAGGAAGGTAAAGAGGACAGAGAAAGGAACCACCACAAAGGAGGGCAGACAACAAAGGAAGCAACAGGGCCCACACAAGCACAGAGAGGAGCGCAACAAAACCAGGAAGACACCGAGGCGCACCAACAGGAGCACAAAAACAACACAATCCCACGAGTCCCGGAGGGCAACTCATGCAAGGAACTACAAGACCACTAAAGAGATAGAGGACAGCACAGACAATAGTTGTGCAGAGCATAGTGCGCTTGACCAAAGTAAGGTAAAAAACAAACCGAAAAGAAAACAAGGAAAAGAGGCGTGCACAAAACAAGAAGGAAAGAAACAAAGAAATGAATTGGAGGAGTACGAGTGCACCTGTCACGTCCACGGACAGACACGCAAGTACAGAGAAAACTAAGCCCGAACACCAAACACTTGGGAGGGTAGGGCACCAGTGCACCTGTCACGTCTATGGACAGATACGCCAGTGGAAATGAAGAACCCAAATGATTAAAACAGGTGAGGGACTTACCGGACAAGGAGGAGCCAAGATTAGGTCCCTAGCGGGACAAAAAGAGCCCCACCCAACCAAGCAAGGGGGGCTAAAAGAGAAAACTGCATCAGGCCGGAAGGACAATAAGACGATGCAGGAGGTGCGACCCAGGAGCCAATAGGGGAGGAGGAAGAAAGGAGGCTATGTCTGACTTCGTGTAGTGTATTCGAGGATTGTGTTGCTTGTCTGCTCGGAGAGTATCATTCCAGCTATTCCCAATGGCAAAGGAGACAGGGTTCTCCGTTTCATTCATTGCAGCCAAGCAACGTAGTTCGTTGCATTAGTTTCAAAAGTAGCCACGTCATTATCTGGTGCTCTTCTGCGTAGTTTCCGATCAGGGAAGACGCGCTCTCGCACGTGCTGTTGCAAAATCGTTTCCGGTAGGTAATGAGCTGGTCGTTGGAACAGCACTCTACTTGCTAACTTGTCGCGGTTGACTTCGCAGTGAGTGAACATACTGAGGAGGTACACATGTGAGTCTCCAGAATCACAATATTTTCTGAGGCTTGAATTGGATTCAATGAGCTCCCCCTGCCTCTAACGCCAATGTTGACACAGATACAAGCAGTCATGTCTGAACCAACAAAATTGAGAAGGCCGGCGGAGTAATTCCAAGAGGCGTCCACATGCTTCAGCCAATAAAGAAGATGTGGAGTAAATATGGAGTAGACCATCCGCGGAGAAAAAAATGCAGAAATATATGGCAGGGCCAATACAAAATGCGTGGAGTAATTTCGGCCCGTTTTAAGAATACACTGTTATTTATGGTGGACTAGAATTACTCCACAGCCAGTTCAAGCAGGCAGAAACACACACAGACACACCAGGCGTTAAGAGTCTACGGGGGTGAAGGGGTTGGACGCCGTACTACTCCCTGACATTTCATAGCCGAGCCTTCACGCTTGGGTTCTGCCACTTCTGCAACTTTTGAAATGTCGGCAGCACTCGGCCTGGAAGGGCATTGTCAACCTTCAGGTGACCTGTAACATCATCATATGGTCTCTTCTACTTAGCGTATGAAGCTGCAAGTGCCCAGTGTCTCAACTCTAAATGTAGGAAAGCTTCCACACTTGAAAAGACGTGAAAAATCGAACGCGCCGGTGCGGGATCTATCTAAGAGGCCTCCCGTTTGCACAACATCCAACATTGAAATTCTGGGACAAGCGGAGACACATCGAGTAAAGATGAGATCTAAAGCCAGCAGCCAGACTACAGACACAGTAGTTGCTGAGTGGCAAACTTCCTGTGAGACACATGGACCTGCCATTCTCTCAAACATTGAGGTCTGTACTAAAGCTTCCGGCAATATAAGAAAGCATCAACCCAACGGGAAAAGACTCGAGAAAAGCACGTTGGCTGCCAGTACTCTAGCATGCTGTGTTTTCATATGTACAAACCCCGAACAAACTCAGAATACGCGTCCAATCAGACAGTTTACAATGGCAGGAACACTTCAAGTGGTAAAGCTCTGGCATGCTGGTTTTTCATATGTACAAACCTCAAGCAAACCGTGTTCAAACCTCAAGTCTATGGGGCCGGACCATGCCATCAGGTGCAACAGGATTTAAAGGAAAGTTCAATTAATTTCTTTTTTTTTGCGCGCGGCAACTGTAGATTTCCTCCGCTGCCTAGAATTGAAGTTTGATTGGGGTTTGTACACATGAAAAAACAACAGATC